ATATATATATATAAATATATATATATATATATATTTATTTACATATTACTAAGAGCAGTGACTGATCATGTAATGTCATAACCTTGACAAAATAATGACAAAATAAAATAAAAGGTGATTTTAGTGATTTTGAAAACTAATGTCAGATTAACGTGTGAAACGTTTTTTTTTTTTTTTCGGCTGTATGTCTCAAAAATCAGTGACTTTTCACAGGGAATACAACCAAAGACATCATATCAGTAATTCGGACCATCTGTTCTACAGCCTTAGGAACAAAAGTGTGCTGTGCTATTGTTGGCTTGTGCACAAAATCTCACATTCCGAAAGGAAGACGTCATCAGAGGCCAAAAAATATCCACTACAGCTGTCTATGTATTTACCCAGCTGATGAATGCCTATCTATGGAATGAGGTTTCACTGAAAACAGAGTGTAGCCTTTCTCAAGGCTGCCTGAGGGAAAAGGCAAAAACTCAACATCTCTACAAGAGGCCCCAATGATGTCATCACTGTTTGAATCGCCATGGTGATGAGTGAACGGAGAGGAACTAAAAGGTCCATTGTACATTTTCAAAGACTCTGCCAGTAAATCACTGTAGTGTAACTGAATGACAAACTGTCCAGCATGAATTAGGCTACTTGACCCCTTCACAGAGAAATAATAAGATAATACAAGCTTGAATAGACACGTAGATGGTCCTTGAGTCAGAAAACTAACTCAGACTCTCAAAACAGATCTCTTAAAGTCAACAAGAACCAGCATTCACAACCCATTTCATTTTCGCAACGTGAGCAAAACAACATATTCAATGAGAAAATGGGCGGGACTTGATTCCATCCATCAGGAACTGATTGGATCACGAATAGTGGGCATTCCATATCAGAATAAACCCAAACTGAAAGCTGAAGGTCAAGTTCCCCATCAAGAGCATCTCAATGCATCCTTTTCTTTTTCACATCTATTGTTATTTCTCTAACCTTTTCAAGATTTCAGGCAGGAAGTAGCCTAAAACGATGCCTAAATAGCTAATTGGCTATTGGTTAACATTAACATCCAGTGTGACGGAGTAATAACATGCAAAATATGACCAGGAAGGTCATATTTCAATTTCATGTTGACTTTAAGCAGCAATGCTTGGTACATTTTGAGATTTTTTAAGGTTGTATAATTTAAGACAAAGCATGTGCTGACCTTCACATAGTCATAGGCACATCCGATGTGGTCCTCCACCTCAAAGGTTATAAAAGTGTAGTTGATAGTGTTGCCCATGGAGGCCTGGATGGTCCAGCTGCAGTCAGCACGAGATGGATAGTCATTGGGGAAGTTCAAGCTCTCAATCTTTCCCCGGCTCCGATTGGCGATCAGCACACCTTGGCAAACTACAGGAGAAAAGCCAGTCCTAATTAACAGCATAATAACAACATGAGTTGGGAAGAATTATTGAACATTAAGAACTTGCTGAAGTTTTGGAGAATATTTAATAGTTTACAGCAAAAGTAAATGAAAAATAAACTATATTTTTACATTTTCTTCAGGGTTTTCTGGGCTTATGGACCCAGGTGTTCGGTGTAACTCACTGGTTTGGTAGGTAGCCATAAATCCGCCTGTGTGGATGATGCTGTCTGTACGTAGCTTCACGTACATGTTCTGTCGGGAGGAACTGATGGGGGCAGGAATTTCATTACCACACAGCTTAGCCATCTGAGGAGCACTGGTGCTGTCGCCATCATACACCTGGTAGACATATACACACCAGGGAAAGATTCAAACTCAATACCTTGAACAGAGAACTCTACACTGTGAAGTAAATCTTCTAATTCAATGCTCTCTAACCACCAAGTAGTCATAGAAGCAGTTCATGCTGTTCTCCAGGTGAAAGTCTCCAAAGCTGAGCTCCACTGTGCTTCCTGCACTGGTTTTGATGTGCCAGTAGCATTCGGCGTTGGCGTGATAGGGCAGAGGGTAGTTGGGAGAGGTGAAACCTCCAACGCTTGTGGTCAATATCCCACCGCAACCTATAAGAGAGATCTGAGATGCCATAATATAGTCCACTGACCATCTGATGCATATTTCACACAAAACTAGAATGCAAACTTTATGTTCAAATTACTATGATTTCTGGGAAACAAAATTATGTATATAAGGTTGATATTAGCGCTCAATATGAGCACTTCTGAGGAATAAATATTTCCTGGATTTGCTAGTTTGCAAGGTCTGTTTCATTAAATATTGTAAAGATATTCAGATTTTTGTTAGAGGCACTTAATAGCAAATAATTTATAGTAGACCATAGATATGTAATACTCTAGAACATTGTTATTGTTAACTAAAACTAAATATATTAAAATTGATTAAAAAATATATATATTACATTTATAACAATATGAAAATATAAAAATATTTTCTTTATTAAAATACTTGAAGTACTAAAATTGCTAAAATAAACTATAAAATATAATTACGTACAATAACATTAAATATAATTACATTTTAAATATTATAAATTACTAAAAAATTAAGAAATAAAATAAACCAAGCCAAAAGAAACATAAAAAATAATTAAATAAAAATGGCAAAAGCACAATATTATTACAAATTATCAAATTATTATACTAAAAATCGTTTTCGGTTACATTTTATTTTACAGTACGTGTACTTACCCAAGAAAGTACTGGGTAATATAAGGTAACTATATGGGTTAAGGTTAGGTTTAGGGTTAGTACCTAGTTATTACCCTATTATTGTAATTGCTATAATAAGTACATCATTTTCTTTACTGAAATAAAACAAAATATAAATATTAGATTAAATACTTGAACTTAATAACAAAGGAAAATTATAAATGTTGCCTTGGCAACTAACTAAAATAATATAAGTTTAAAGTGCTAAAATTAATAAAAATAAAACTTTAAATTAAAAATATTGGATTATAAACATGATAAAATATTAAATAAGTTACTAAAAAGAAAGCAAATAGGAATAAAAAACCTAATAAAAAGTAAAAAATAAAATGAATATATAAAATAAAACAAAAATATAAAAATAAAAGCTAATTCTAAATATTAAATACTATAATAGTATAAATAATATTAAAAGAACATGGTTTTAGACATATAGAAATGATCAACATACATGAGTCTGCACTGGAAATTATCTGCCACAAAACAAAACTGCAGTTGGTCATTTTAAATGACTGCTAGAGAGTGTCTAAGTTGGCAGTTCTTGGCTAGACTTTATGCCATATTTTCATCAGATTCAATACACAAGTACACAACAGGAAACGCATACCTGTCTGTGTGCCATCCCAGTGGGCTCTGAATCCCCTGTAGGTGAGTGAGTGGTCGGATCTGAACTTCAGCCACAGCCTGTTGCTATGTGACACTATGATGGGTGGACCATTTGTTCCACAATATTTACCAATGAGGGGGGATGTTTCATAGCCTCCATCTCTGTAAAAGAAAGGAAAGTGTCTGAAAATCAAAACGTGACTAAATCAATGATCCAAAATGCTGGAAAAGTTCCTCACCTGATCTCTAAATAGTCAAAACCGCAGGAACTTAACCCCTCCAGCTCAAAATCTGTGACATTCAGCATGATCTGCATGTTGACTTCCACTATGATTTTATAGACACACTCCCGATTGTTGGGGTAATTGTCGGGGTAGTTGGGTGAGCTGAACTCCCCGGTGGGTGACCTAAATACCTCACTGCAATCTGCATGGGCAAAACAAAGAAATATGAGATTTAACAAGATTTATCTGATATATTTTGTGTATATATGTAACACTGTGGTCCCGTGAGGCACACATTTTTTTTTCCTTTGTAGGTCTCTACAGTGGAATGACAATAAAGTTCACTTGACTTGACCCCAAAAAAAAGTCAGTCTAAACCCAAGCCTCACTATGAGATCTGTACTTTTATGGCTTTCCAAATTGGATTTTCATATCCAATTACTGCAATAAAATTATACCTGTGCTTGCATTGATGGAGACATAATCAGCAGAAAAGCCTTCCGCAGACAGACTGGAGTCAGAGACCAGCAGGACGGTCATCAGACTATCAGTGCTGGTTAGAGATGGAGGAACGGAGCGCCCACAGAACCTAAGCACAAAATAATCCAACATATTCATTTACAAATCTTGGCCTAAACGTTTAATGTCTTGGTTTACCTGCCCAGAAGAGTGCCAGTCAGTGCTGTGCCATTATCATAGACTTCCACATAGTCGTATGCGCAGTTGTTTTGTACTCCGGTTGAAGGTTGTGAATGACAGACGGATGAGGCTGCCAGGCTCAACGGAGATGTACCAGGTACAATTGGCTCCATGAGGGTAGTCGGTGGGATGTCCTGGGCTGGTGAATGAACCCGTTGGTTCTGTCAGAGTCACTCCACAGCCTGTAAAAATGAACACAAGTGTTGAAATCATTTGAAAAAGCTTTTATCATTGGAGAAAGATTATGTACTGTTCATTGTGGGAATCAAACCTATAACTTATCGGATTCCAGGCCAGATTTTTAACCAGTATGTCTCACCATCACTGGTCTACCAATATCTATTCACTTTGATTCACCAAACATAAGCATAAATGCAGAAAACTCAACTCTCAGTTGATTCAAATAATACTCTAATTAACATCATATTAGTCAACTTTTAAATTGCTTTTCACCACTGAATGAAATATAAGTATATTTATAATAGTCATCCACCATCTTAGATTAACTTTTTCACTAACTTAAAGCATCTTAGAAGGCAGCATAATATATGCTACACACAAATGTTTGTAATTTTTAGCATTTAAAAAAATACTGTAAAATGCTAGAGTAAAGGCCTGTTAATTGGTTAACTGTAAGTAACCTTACCATATACAGTGCAGTGAAAACATTTAATATCACATATGTAATTTTACTGTAAAATCCTGTCAAATTTATGGTTTTTGGAAGTACCAGCTATGAATGACCATAAATTAATAATATTTTAATAATAACAGGACATTCCTAAAAGTCGTTACCTATCACATGTGATTTTCTTTTGTAAATTATTATACTTTTTTTTATTATCAGTAATGTACATTTGGGTGTTTTGTGTTATTTGGTTTATGTTTAATGCAATATTTATGCCATTTTAACCGCAAATTTAACAGAATATATTTTTTACAGTGAACATCTTTCACGTTGAGAGTGTGTTAAGTCTAGGTAGGCAGCTCACTATGTTGCATATACAATATATTTGAAGACGCTACATTCGAAAAGAACAAAACGTCTCTAGGTTACGTATGTAACCATGGTTCCCCGAGACACATACACAGAGCGCTACTGAAGAGCAGAAGCTGGTTTGCGCTCTGCTGGATGCGCTTTTATACTTTCTGGTGCTTACGTCACCCCGCTCGTGACGTCTCGCTGCTCCATTGGACTGATTTGACACGTGCTTCAGAACGCGGTCACGCAAGGGCATTCCCAAAGCGAATCTCGATGCAGCTCGAGTTCCTGAAGGGGAACAATAGTTCACCTTGCTCTGCAGATGCAAACTCAGCAGGGAAACCATGGTTAGAGACAGATGAATCGGTTTTGAATCGGATGAACATGGACCTCTGGGTGGACTCCAGCATGGGAGGCATGTTAATTCCACAATATCGACCAATCAGAGGTGAGTCTGCACTGGGACCATCTCTCACCTGAGCAAGTAGAGAGTGACGTTTCAGAAGAAATGTAAAGTGTAATCTGTATTTTGCCTGAACAGGATTAGCACAATGCTAATGTTGTACCTCTACATAATCGAAGGCGCATGTGCTGCTTCCCTCGACGTCAAAGGTGAGGAAGTCGAAAGTGACCACATAGCCCTCAGGTTGGTTAATGACCCACTCGCACACTTTGTTGTGGGGGTAGGGGTCGGGGTGCAGGGGAGTGCGAATCTGTCCGGTTCCAGAGAGAGTTCCTCCACAAGCTAGCAAAAAGAGTTAAACTCTGAGATCACGTTAGGGTAGGGTGCAGTTATTATACTAATATTTATATTAAAGCTAAATTAGCAAGACATTCATGGACTTGGATTCATGGAATTGTGTTTAATCTTAGACAGGACACAGGAAGTAAAGGTAAACTGATAGGGGCTGTTCACACAGAATGTGTTTTCACATTCCACTGCGCTGCTTTGTCTTTGTTTTTCTGTGTAAACACTCATTAGACAGATGTCTTTTGGAGCGTCCCATGCATGACACAGCATTTTAAAACCACAGTTTAAAAAAAATAAGTGTTTTCTTTGCAGCATACATTGTTCCGCTAAATGAATCGCACATATTCAAAAATAAATAAATAAATAAACATGCAATATAATTAACATTATCAACAATCTCAAGTTTGAGAGAATGCTTTTAGGCCCAAAACATCCTCTGCACAAGAATGCGAGCGCAAATACTTAAATATCACATCATTGCGTAACAAAATTCATAGCACAATGTAAGTACACATCAGGGTTATTATAGTTAACTAATAAAAAGTATATACACATACATACAGCATAAAAGGAAAATTATGAAAAATGAAAAAAAAAATCAACAACAAATTTACTAAATCTTTAACCAAAAATAAAGTTAAAATGGAAAGAAAAAAATCAAAATATGAATAAAAATCTCAATAATTCTAAAACAACACTAAAACGCATTACATTCTCATCAATGTATTGTGATCATTAGCATCGCAGCAATATTTTGAAGACACTACCATACCAAAATGGCGGAGAATCAGTTTAGCTATTAGTTTAAAGTCAACATGAAATGAAAATTTAGCTATTTTCTAACTGCCCATAATTGGTCATACATTTCACAACATGACACAAACATTTGAAGACCACTCTATCGCCCCCTTGAGTCTGGAGGTTTGTTTTAACCACGTTAACGCAAAGGGACCACATCAAAATGCGACCGCGTACTTGTAACGTGTCAGTAAGGCATTCATGTTTGCATTTGCATGTTTGTGTAGAATATGTTTCTGGCCTTGTTTTTACTGTTACTTTTCAGAAAAATGGCAGAAGTGAATTTTGCCATTCAGTCTGCGTCATACGCTTTACTTAAAAAGGAGGTTTCAGTGTCTCACCAATTTCATACATGGCCCTGAACACAGAGCTGTCAGACTTGAAACGGATCCAGAGTCCATTAGTGGTGGACAATATTGGTGCTGGCAGGGTGGTGCCACAGTACTTCCCAATGAGCGGGTCGGTCTCACCCGTCCCATCTCGAATCTAAGAGAGATTTGACTTGGTAATATCACTGAAGTGGTGACACTCTAAGATCAAAATGATACTTACTTTTGCTCTCATCAACATTAATTACACAGATCATACCTCCACAAAATCAAAAAGACAGCCCTATGAGTCTCCAGGTCCATGTGGGTGAAGTTGAGAGCCACTAGCTCACTACGTGGCATTCTGATGATATAAATGTACTGCCTGTTGTGAGCATAGTTATTAGGCCAGTTAGGAGAGATGATGATGCCTTCTGTGTCTGTAAAGACGCCTCCGCAGCCCGGGTCAGCTGTTGATACAGAGTGAATTGCATTACACTCAAGCAATTCATCCCAATATTGTAAGACAACTCACTTTGCCCATTTGAACCCAGTGTTGAACCAAGCATCATGTTCCGCTGGAGTTTGCAATGCAATGCATTTGCAATGTGACTTGTGACTTTTAATATCTATATAATGCCAATAAACTGTTTTATGAGCAGTATTCCACTGATGGATCCATAAAAATTATCCATAATTCAGTTCAGTTCACTGCTAATGCATTACGATTACAGCACATCATGTACATAACCACTGACTGCAAACAAGAAAATAGTGCTGTAAAATTCAAATGTGTTAAGGAAACTGTTCAAAAACTTCAAAAATGTAGGGCCAGTTAATACTTTTACGCAGCAAGGGCAGTAAAGTCCATTTATAAAGGCATAAAAACAGTAAAGGCATTTATAATGTTACAAAAATGCTATTCTTTTGAACTATGTATTCATGAAAGAATCCTGAAAAAAAATCTATTACCGTTTCCAAAAAAATATTAAGGAGTGTAACTTTTTTCAACATTGATAATAATAAGAAATGAGTCTTGAGCAGCAAATCAGCGTATTAGAATGATTTCTGAAAGGTCATGTGACACTGAAGACTAGAATAATGATGCTGAAAATTCAGCTTGGCATCACAGGAATAAATTATATTTTAAAACATACTAAAAGCTATTTTAAAGTGTAACAACATTGCACAATATTACTGTTTTTACTGCATTTTTTATCAAATAAATGCAGCCAAAAACATCTCTTAGAAACATTAATTTACCCATTAATGTAAAAAAACAAAAAAAATCAAATCAAAACTTTTGAACGGTAGTGTACAGGTCTATTATCCTGCCTAAAATGTCCCACAATTCCCCTCTCTCTGTGTGTTTTGACAGCATGGGCTTTACTTACATGGTGAAGTAGTGTATGTAATGTGAAATCCCCGAACGCTGATGCTGAAATCAGAGTGAAAGTGGATCCAGGCAGATGGTCCCGTCGTCTGTAGAGGTGGTGGCGATGCTGTACTGCAGTATTTTCCAAGAACTGAGTCTTCTGGGAGCAGTCCGTCTCTGATCTACAAAATAAAGCCGGAAACTGAAGCATTTTAACACATACGCACAGAAAACAACTTTAAAGTGGAACCAAGATACAACAAGCTTTACCTCCAGGTAGTCAAAGTTACAGTTATCATGGTGCTCCAGACTGAGGGTGCCAAAAGCAAATGTGATGAGCAGACCAGGGTTCACATTCACTGTCCAATAGCAGTCCCGGTTAGGTGGATAGTTACCTGGGTACCCGGGTGACTTGATGTCACCGTATGTATTGGTCAACTCCCCACCACACACTGGAAAAGAAAGCAGTATTGAAATAAGATACAATTCATGCTAATTCAAATAGTTGCTAATATCACAAAGTTAGCAATCATTTGGGCTAATCAGTAAAGGTCGGGGTTAGATTTACTGCTGTTTGGTGAATTTTCACATGCAAAATCCAGTAATTTCAACAGGAATTGGGAAATTTCATGTGAGGGCGAAAGATTTCCCAATGCAGATTTCGCAGTGGGTTCAATCTGATCATGTGATTTGCCACATTGACCAACAGAAAGCTGCTGGGTTTGAAAGTGACTTCTGTGTGAGCTTACACTATTGACAATAAACAATTGATGTTTTTTGCCTGAGAAATTTAGCTAATGTGACTGCAAATTAAGGGTGTTCTTGGTTTACCTGGTGCCTGTGATTGCCAGGCCACTGTGAAGTTGCGACCACTGACTGAATGGTCAGAGCGGAACCAGAAGTACAGAGAATTGTGGGAGCTGAAGAGTTCGGCTGGGGCGGCAGTGCCGCAGTATTTTCCAATCATGTAAGCTGATGCGCTCTCGCCATCATGGACCTGCAGGAAATCGAAGTTGCAGGAGGCACTGTTCTCGATGTCAAAGAAAGGGAAGGTAATCCACATAATCTGGGAAAAACCACAAGAAAGCTTAAAACACAAAATTTTGTTAACTCCGCCATGCATCTTGAAAAAAAAAAAAAAATCTGTTGATTTGCAAAAAAAGGTCTAAAATCAATCAAAACTTTCCATCACTTACATTTTTTTTTCACAAAATAAGAATGAAAATTTTTCAAATCATATATTTAACAGTCAAAAGTAAAAAAAAAAATCTAAACGTATCATTTAACTTACAATCTTACAATCTCACGTATTAATAACATTAATTTATTTGGAGAAAAATCTTGAAAGAGTATGATTATTTCAAATAATATAATCAAAGATAAACGTAATATTACACAGATATGAATACCTTCTAAAAATCACAGTTCTATTAAAAAAAGAGTGTATTATTTTCAGGGAAAAACATAGGTTTTACATGTTGCTTTTGCTATATACATACACGCGCACACACTCACACACACACAGACACACACACGCACACACACACACACACACACACATATATATATATACACACACACACACACACACATATATGCATACATACACAGTGTGTGTGTGTATGTGATTATAATAATTATGAATAATTATGCACTTTTTCATCATCAAAAAAGTATTACCTAATCTGATGATGTGGAGTTCAAAATATCAATAAAAGCTTGCCATTATGTACATTGTTTTCACTAAATAAGAATGAAGATTTTTCAAATTCTGTATATCGGTCAAAAACAAAAACAAAAATAATCCGTGTATCATTCGATCATTCGTTTTTTGATTTAATATTGAAAGTAGAAAAATGAGAAAACGGCTCATTTTTCATTTTTTTTCCAAAAAACGAAAAACAAGAATTCAGCTTAAATTTTAGTTTTTCGTTCAGGGGTAGAAAAATGATTAAACAGCTTGAATATTCGATTTCTACACATGGGTGGGAATTAAACACCCCTTTCTGCTGATTGGTCAGCCGAAGATCAAACCGTGCCTTCATCAGTTCTTCCGCAGTATCACGCAGCAGAATAATAGTCCTCTGCTGCTGCAGTTATATTGATTCTTAACACATTTATTGCAACTACATTTCATCTTTTTTCATCAAACAAACAGGCTAATGAATAGCTCGACACAACTCATACTGGGGCAGAGTCTAGACAGGGCTTTCTTCTGTGTAGATATAAATTATATTCTTTGCATCAGCTGGGCATGGCAGGTATGATATGACAGCTGTCATAGTCTACCCTGCTCACCCAGTAAGTCTGTTTGTTTGTTTAATTAATTAATTAATTAATTTGTTTCAAAATAAATATTTTAATCACTAGGACAAAAAGGAAGGAATAATAAATTGGCTTGGGTATATATAGGCATTTAATTCCCGCCCACGTGTAGAAATTGAATATTCAAGCTGTTTATTCATTTTTCCACCCATGAACGAAAAACGAACATTTAAGCAGAATTTTAGTTTTTCCTTTTTTGGAAAAAAACAAAAAAACGAAAAAGGAGCCGTTTTCTCATTTTTCTACTTTCAATATTAAATAAAAAAAATGAATGATCGAATGATACACGGATTCACCAGTTTTCAATTTTTGGTTTTGGGTGACCTATTCTTGTTAAGACAACAGGTCTCATTTTAAATTGCACGAGAATCAGGATGAGAGCTAAACCTGGAGGACACTGGCCGCAGTGGAAGGAGCCCATGGTGTTGAGACAAGGCACCAAGGGGGAAGTCGAACAGCCTCCATTGTTTGTGGCACATTCATCGATATCCTGGCAGCTGTAACCGTTACCCTGCCATCCTGGAGGAAGAAGAAAAAAAAAAAAAAACTAAAAAGAACTTCATAAAAAAAGATGTTCTTAATAAGAATCTGTTAGTCTATTAAATGCCTTCAATGTAATTACAACCATTACTCTTTTATATCAACTATCTAAGAAAAGATAAATGATTGATGTATGGAAATCTTGGCAATAATCATATCTGACATGGCTCAGCTGGGCTGAGTGGTCTGACCTGCAGGGCAAGCGCCGCAGTAGAACGAGCCCAGAGTGTTGAAGCACTGCACAGGGGGGTTTGTGGAGCAAGGTTTGTTCGGGAGGCTGCACTCAACAACATCAGCCGTGCACGCTGACTCTCCGAGTGGAGACATCCAGCCAGCATCACAGATACACTTATACTTGGGCTGAAAAGAGATGCATGTTGTTCCAAAGCTGTATGACTTTATTTGTTACATAGAACACAAAAGGAGACGTTAAGCAGAATGTTCAGGCTGCTCTTCAGCATTTAATGAACGTGAATGGTGACCAAAATGCCCAAACACCATAAAAAAAACATAAGTCATGTACTCGACTGTTCAAACGTTTGAGGTCAGTAAATGTATTTATTTATTCATTCAAGAAATGAATGAATTATTGAATTATTTAGCAACAATGCATTAAATGAATCAAAACTGACAGTAAACTATTACAAAAATAAAACTGTTACAAAAGATTTCTAAAATAAATGCTGTTCTTTTGATCTTTCTATTCACCAAATAATTGAATGATTTCTGAAGGATCATGTGACACTGAAGACTGGAGTAATGATGACTCCAGTTTATTTCTACATACATCCTATAAAACACATGCATGTGGGATACTGAGAATGAATACACATAATTTTGCATCACCTCATTGGGATCGACTCTGTCTGAATCGATGCACACGCCGTGAACACACAGATCCTGACTTCCACCTGCATAGTCATCATAGCGAGATGTACAGTGTGGACCGTACCATTCTGGAGTACAGGAACAACTGATAAACAAAAGAAGAGTCAAATATGAACATAAAAGTCTCACATAAACACTAAAAACCCCACTCAAGAGAAATAACGGAGGATTACGTGTAAGATCCGAGTGTGTTCACACATGTGGCCCCGTTCTGACAGCCCAGCGGAGTTCTTGCTAACACCTGACACTCATTCACATCCACTGCACATGTGGGACCCTGTAAAGAGATTGAACCAGAAGTGTCAGTCAAAATCATACATGAACGGGACAGACGTCTATTTGAGAGACTGACCTGCCAGTTGTCAGGACAGAGGCAATGAAAGGTGTCTAACAAGTTCAAGCAGGTTCCTGCGTTCTGACATGGATTGCTGCTGCACGTCTTCCTCTGTACTGTCTATGAAATATAGAATGTCACAAAACTGAGATTAAATTGTAAAGGCTGACCAATGAAAGTCTTTAATCACGTGAGCTATATAAGCCTTGAGCGAAATCGATGATTACAGCGATACCTGTTCAGTTGTCTGAACTTTTGTCTCAAGTGTTGTCACTCTGGTGTTGAGCTGATTGAGCTGGTCTGTAATATCCGGAGACGGGCCACTATTCTTTATGGTATTGATGTCATCTTTGTTCATTTTGATCTGGAACAGAGTTGATTACACTTGATTAAATTCTACAAAACATTTACCAAGGTGCAAAGTGCTTAAATAAAACAGACAAAATGCTTGCTCTGTGCTGACTAGAATAAAGAAAATTGTATGTAAATGGAATAAATTTTTTTTTAAAACAATTATGGACTGAAATGAAATTAAACACAATGCACACAAAAATAAACAAAACAAAATAAACAAAACAAAAACACAATTAAATATAAAACAACAAAACCAAACCTAAACAAAATGCACACACACACACACACAAACAAACATGAAACAAAACAAGTAAAAATAAACAAAAAGCAATAAAACAAAATGAAATAAAAAGCAACATAACCAAAGAACACAATTAAATAAAAAATTCAAAACAACCTAATTTCAGATTCAGTTGATATTGACATCACTACAGCATCACAACATGCTTGACCAACATAAACCTTAAGTCTTGCAATTATTAGCTTTTTCTAATATGAGCCATATTTTTACTCAGAAATCTGATGTTTCAGTCAAACTGATCTAGAACTCACCTGATTTATCTGCTGGATAAGGTCCTCGGCCCCCACCTTTACATTTCCCGTCCCTGAGGTTGTGAAGCGAATGTCTTTGTTGTAGCTAGCGGAGAACGTAAGGTGACCATTTTCTGATATCATACGAGGCCTGCAAATGAATTACCAGGTAACTTTGGAGGACAAGTTTCATTTCTAACTTGCAGTAGAATTAAAAACCTTCATTGTTAAAAAACAATCTATGCTGTTCAATAATATAATCTGTTTCATGTTAAAATCTTCACATTGAAGCACAAAATATTCATAAAATAATACAGAGAGTTGCAGCAGGGAAAACTCAAAACAAACCCTGACCAAGCTTTTGAAACTATGAGAACTGATCTATTCAAATTTCATTTCAAAGTCTTACTGAAATCTGCAGGAAAGCCCATGAGGCTGGCGATCTCTCTAAGTGTGAAGTATCTCAGCTTTAACTGAGAAAGCTGCTTTAGTTTGTCCTCTTAAGAAAGCAGCTCCAAGCTCTTAAACACACTCTCTAGCTCCACATGCACACAGGACTGCAGGACGGAGCCCGTGCCCTCCACATAGTGACCATAACTACACAGAAACAATCAACAGTTATGATCAACAAGGGTATTAGCTGGGGAATCATATCAAAGAACAAATTCATCTTGATAATGTCAGATAACATTTAAGCAAAACATGGTCAGGTCAAAGTGTCTGATTAATTTTTGGTCCCAAATTTTTATCAATTTTACTGGTAGTCCACTGTATGAAGAATTTTTGGGTATAATATGTCACAGTTTTCTTTATTTTGCTATCCTCACTTAGAACTTACTCACTAACCTCACTTTGAACTATAGTGTCCTGCACCCACTGTAAGAAAAATAAAAAAAATAATAATATCTGGTGTCTGAATAATTTTTGGTTTGACTGTATATATATATATATAATATATAATGTATATGTATATGCATATATAAATAAAATAAAGTATATATTATAATATATACTAAAATGGTAAGGTACACACCCTATAATGTAAAAAAGCAAAAAAAAAATAATAATACTAAAATGGTAAGGTACACACCCTATAATGTAAAAAAGCAAAAAAAAAATAATAATACTAAAATGGTAAGGTACACACCCTATAA